CAACGTTATTGCTATATTTAAAAAAAACATATATTTGTAAAGACTTCAACTATATAGGTGTTTCTGCGCAACGCGGGGGCATTCGCCTAGTGTATTTTATAGAACTAATCAATTAGATCCATGTAGGCAGCTTGTGTCATGAATGAGCTTACTGTGCATAATTAGGGGCGGAACATGCTCTTTGAGAATGGGAGAACATGCCCCAATGAACCTCTAAAAATCTAATTTTTTTAATTTATTAAAGATGCCAATTTTTAGACTTAAATGAACCTCTAAAAAAATAATTTTATAATTTATTAAACAAGTCAATTTTTAGATTGATAAATAAAATCCCCCAATGGCAACCAAACTAAAAAGGATGCTTAAAGCCTTAAGCAGAATTATCTCTCACTTTCCTCCCCCTGTAATAAGTGTTCTCCAACCTTCATTTTCCAACTCCAGAGTGATGTGGGAATCCTTTTCCAACTTCCCCGCTAAATTGCTAGTCCCACATTGCCAATTGTATACAAGAAATCTAGGGGGTGTTTGATATAGTTTCTAACCGGGTCCAATAGGGGACCCGGTCCAAAAAAGACCAATCAACGTGTTTGGTATCGAATTTATAATCAAGGAATCGGTCCAAGGATAGGATTTGGTCCAAGAATTTGATCTGATTCAGTCCCTTCTTTTCCACTGTTGGACTGGGACAACATCTAAAGAATACGGTTGCTTTCCTATTTTCCCCTACCTCATTGTGAAGAAACAAGCGACGACCTGCTAATCGAAGATAGCCATCGACGACCTGTTGCTCGACGAACGTCTTCTTCCTTGGACGAACGTCCTCTTCCGAGCAGATGAGTTTTTTTTTGCTCTTTTTTTTGCTCTATTGTTGCTGAGATGTCCGATTTTTGCTGCTCATTTTTTGTTGTTTGAATTTTGTAGGTTGATTGATGATGCCCGCAAGGTGTTTGTTAGATGGCCTGCTTGGAACACCATTATTTTTGGATAAACTCAAAACGGTTTTGCAGGGAGAGCAATTGATTTGGTCTCACAGATGGCTTTTCCCATCACCATAATCTCACTACTCTGTGATGTTGGTAATCTTGGCTATTCAACAATCTTAATGAATATAATGATAAATGGCTTTTCCAGAATGTGGTATTTGGATGTTGATTTTGTGTTTATATATTTATGTCTTCTTTGTGTAGCTCCTCTGATGTACAAACAAATTTTTGAAAAGAAAGGTGATATGAATTGTATATCTGTATACTTGTATAGAAAAAGTATGATGTAAGTTGAGTGTTGTGCATTACAACATGATAGAGAATATTTTAATATACTCTCATTGTATTTTGTACTTTCTATTTTTTTGAAATGAATACAAGGTTTTTTATTGTTATTTGAATCAAATAACAATGGAGTTTAGAGGATGAGAGAAGGAGAAAGCTGAGAGAAATGTGTATATCGACTAGAAAATGAGAGAATAAAGTATAAGGGTAATATGGTCATTTTTCATCATTCACCACATTCAGTAAACAAATAATCAAACAGCATAAACTCAGTTAGATGTCGACTCAGTCAGAACTTCTAACCCAGTCAGCTTCTAACTCAGTCAGCTCTAACCCAGTTAGCAACTATTAAACGACCCCTAGGTCTACCTCTTTATATGTACGAACTCTATACGTACGAAGTGAAACGCATGCCCATGTTGATTTCTTTCCCTCTTTATTTTTGTAAGGCTCCAAAGCTCTCCCATATTAATACTAAGGGCATGTTTGACAAAAGTAGTTTGTAGATTTTGAAATATGTAAAATTACATAAAAAGACAATTGTTTATATATA